ATGATTTACTCATTGTTCAGATCTATGTCAATGATATACTTTTTGAATCTTCTATTAAAAGGTTATGTGATGATTTTTCTAAAACAATGAGTAAGGAGTTTGAGATGAGTATGATGGGAGAGTTGTCCTACTTTTTGGAGTTTAGTATAAAACAAATGAATGATGGAACCTTTCTAAATCAATCAAAATACATAAAGGACATCTTGAAGAAGTAAGAAATGGACAAAGCCAAGCCAATTAATACTCTTATGACCTCAGGAATTCAGTTGGATAAAGACCCAAATGGAAAATCAGTTAATCATAAGAAGTACAGAGGGATGATTGGATCTTTACTTCACCTGACTACTAGTCGACCTGATATCATATTTAGTGTTTGTCTCTGTGCTAGATTTCAAGTTGATCCTAAGGAATCCCACCTGACTGCTATTATGAGAATTCTTAGATACCTTTTAGGGACCCAAAACTTAGGAATCTGGTACCCAAGGCATAGCACTTCTTTTGAGATTATTGGATATCCTGATTTTGATTTTACAGGATGTAAGGTGGATAGAAAAGCACTTCTGGAACTTATCAATTCATATGGCAGTCTTTAGTTTCCTAGTCTAGTAGAAAGCAAAACTCTGTTGCACTTTCCACTACTAAAGTTGAGTATATTGCTTTAGGAAGTTGTGTAGCCTAAGTCCTTTGGTTAAAACAGCAAATACTATATTTAGGACTACCTATAGACACCATCTCAGTTCTTTGTGACAACACTAGTGCCATCTGCATTTCTAAGAATCCTATCCAACATTCAAAGACTAAGAACATTGACATAAGGCATCACTTTATAAGAGACTATGTGACTAAGTGAGACATTGAGTTACACCATGTGGCGACTGAGAATCAACTGGCTGACATATTTACTAAATCACTGGCCTTCGACACTTTCAGCACTTTAAGGACCAGATTGGGTGTGCTTGACATTAATGCATGAACTTGATCTCTACTGATTTTTTATCTGTTATCTGCTAATTACTTTTCTTTATCTTTTGTTAGTTTATTTAGTTGTTTATTTTTTTTGTAATTATTTTCTTTGCTTCTGGTACTTTATTTTTCTTATACCTTAATTTGTTTTTCTAAATCATTGCTGATTGATATCGTATGCCTTATTTTTATCTTTTTGAAAATTTGTAGTCAATATTTTACATCTCTTAATCTGCTAAAGGGTAGAAACACCGTTGATTGTGTCTCTTTCTCTAACCTATTTTGGTGGTGAAATTTTTCTTTCTAAACAAAAGTCTATCTCAAATTAACAACTGAATTTTGCAATTGAGATTTTTTTCTACCTTGCTACAATAATCTAGCATATATTATAATTGTAAAAGTTTTTATGTTACTTCAAGATTTCTCGTTATCCTGTCAATGCATCTCTCATATGATTTTTTTCTGTTTTGTGGTTTGTTCTTCCCTATATTTGAGAGAGAGTTTTTCTTCTCTAATATCTAGAAGATATAAATAGTGCCACGTCGATAGGTTTCAAATTATGCTTGATCCAATGTTATATTCGCCAAATATGATTAAAGGCATCCGACGGCCACTGTCCAGTATGATTGTGCATGTATCACAATCTGAGGGTTCTGCCCTAAACAAAGCTTTTTAGTTCATTTGAACTAAAATTTCAAATGGTCATAACTTTTAAATACTTATCCAAATTTGATGAAATTTGAAACTTAAACTAATTGGAGTATAATCTTCCAATGCATGAAGCTTAGTGCTCCATGAATTATAGATGTTCAACAGTTTCAAATTAAAAATTTAACTAAAAGTAGGGATAACTTATAATTCAATGCATGGAATTGTTTTATTTCATGGGCTTGTTGGAAAGTTGGAGAGGTCATCTTCAACTTCCTAGAAGACTTTGAAGTCTAGTTCTGGTTGTATTGAATGATATGTTCAAAACCCTACTTTCTCTATATATTTCTCTGTATCTTCACCAAAACATTGATTGTCGGCTTGGAAATGGTAAAGAAAAGCTTTGTAAAGCTTTGAAGGAGTTGGAGGAGCTTAGAGAACTATCCTTTGGAGTGGAGGCTGTTGGAGAAAATGGTTTGACTGAATGAATCTTAGGTTTATGTTTTCCCCCCACCTTACCCCATGGCTTTTGATTGAATGGCTTGGATTTAATTGAGGGAGTCTTGAATGCATGTCATGTGTCATAGGGTAGTTAGAAGGCTGGAGGAGAGGACAATGCAAGGACAATGATATGGAAAGTGTCATTTGTCCTCACATGAACATGTGGCCCATTGAAAAGGAGCTTAGGGTTATATTATACCGTAAGCTAAGTTTAGAAACTATTTAGGGATGTTCTATAAGGGCCCTAAACATTTAGAGCTGATTTGAATTATAGGGGTTAGAGCCTTTGAAGTGGATTGACCTTTTAAACTTATTTTATGACTTTGTTGACTATTTGATTAGTCAACATTAGGTGAGGTGGAAACAAAGTGATAGCTAGATGTTCTTGAGATGACTAGGGGAGTTTGCAATAATCCATTGGAAGTTTAAATGAGAAAACATGTGTATATGAATGTCTAACCATGGTTAGAGGTTTGAAGAGGTCAAAATCTATGATGGCTTGAATCCAAATAAATTTGGATGTTTTAAATCATTTAATGAAGAGGGATTGAGGGCTTGATAGAAATTTGATTGAATATATACAATGGTTTGACCAAAATATAGGGATTTGACCCTGTTTGATGATCTAATCAAGTCAAATTAATTGTGATTTGGCTCATGATGGGTTTGGAGAGTTTCAAGATGTGCAATTGAATGGTTTTAAAGGTTTAGAAAGCTTGATTGGATTGGATTGGATTGTATATGGTGAACTGACCCTATGTTAACTATATTTGACTAGACATGGACCTGATTGACCAAGTCAGTTATTGACTGGGTCAAGGGGACCAATCAGATCCAAATTGCCAAAAAAATGGTCAAGACATTTTGATGAGGATAAGAATAGATTTGAAGATTAATTTAATTTGAAAAGGGCTTAATGGTTGATCTGGTCTACAATGGTTGACTTGGTCAACCAGTTCAAACCAGAGGTTTGGTTTGGATTTAACAAGTTTGATTTTATCATTAGATACCAATAGATGTGGTCTCCTAGGCTGGAATGGTCATTTGAGTCAAAATGATCATTTAGACCATTAAGGAAAGATTTGATCAACCTAAGTTGATTAGGGCCTAGGTTTGGGTCCAACATATTCAAAATTACATTTTGAGTTCAATGGAGGTGGTCCCATGCAAAGGTGAGGCCATTTGGATTGAAAGGACTATTTAACCCTTAAGGGATAGTTTGTTCAAAATAGGTTGATTTGGTCAATTAGGCTTGACCAAGATTTGGGTTTGAGTCCAATACATTTATATTGGTGTTTAAGATGCATTATATGAGGTTTCAAGGTTTGATTTAATTGTGCCATATTGAAGTTTGAATGTAACTTCAATTTTACCCTTTAGGGGCTTTTTGGTCATTTTGACCCCTAGTCAACTTGGGGTCAAATTGAGTCCAGCAAAATTCAGTTTAATGTTTGACTTGTTATAAGCTACATTATGGACAGTATCAAAGGTCTTGTGGAAGGACCCGAGGTAAAATTCTACAAGGTGGAAGGTCTAGTGGCATAGGACATAAATATTTAAAGGCTTTGTAGCTTTTGGAATCAATTCAGTTTTTAGGGCTAGAGATCTCAGACTAACCTCAAATTTATAGGGTTTAACCTATGAATATGCCTAAATAATATGTAATTGATAGATCATGAATCAGGGGTCATTTAACTAGATTTTAATTAGATTGAAAAATCACTCAAAAAAGGATTTCAAGATAATGGTCCTTAGCACAAGATTTTGGTCCGGAATTCTAGATTTGAGATGGATTTTAGATTTGATTGATTAAATTTGAATTATCTAAATCCATCACAATCAATTGAATTATTTTTAATGATTGGATAGGATTGAAGCTTGATTGAAGAATGGTTAAGTTTTCGATTGAAGGTTGATTGATGATCAATTTGAAGTGTAATTTAATTCTGGATTAAAACCAAGATTAAAACTTGGATTGATTGAAGTTTGAATTGATTAAAGTTTGAATTAATTAAAGGTTGAATTGATTGAATTCTTGATTTATTAAAGTCTGGATTATTTAAAGTTTGGACTAAAGTTTAGATTTATTCTAAGCTTGAATTTATTGAAGTATAGATTGATTGAGGTATGGATTAATTACAATTTAATTTGAATAAAGGTTGAATTGATTGAAGTCTAGATTGATTAAACGATAAATTGATTATAGCCTGGATTGATTAAAATTTGGATCGAAGTTGGATTGATTTGAAGCTTGAATTGATTAAAGACTATATTGATTGAGGTCTAGATTGTTTAAAGTTAGGATTGAAGTATGGATTGATTTAAAGCTTGAATTGATTGAAGTTTGGATTAATTGAGGTCTAGATTGAGGTCTGGATTGAAGTCTAGATTAAGGTCTAGATTAATGTCTGGATTAAGATTTGGATCAATATATGGATTAGGGTTAGGATTAAAGATTAAATTGAAGTTTGGGTTTAAAATTAAATTGAATTCTAGGTTTAAGATTGAATTGAAATTTGGGTTTAAGAATGAATTGAACTATGGATTGAGATTTGAATTGAACTTTAAATGATTGACAACTGGATGCCTGTCAATCTTCATATCAATAGGAAGAAGTCTAGATAGGTCCTATTGATTTCATATAAAAATGAGGTCAACACTATGTAGTCAAAATTGACAAAGTATTATATTCATATGCTCCTACTACTCTCTTAGGATTTACAATTTTAGCAGGCCACTAGAAGTTATTAGTAGCTATTTTCTTTATTAATTCATATGATTTCTCAAATGGCTTAGACATTAATAATCCTCTACCTACAGTATCTATTATTGCTATAATAGATCATAATAATTCATTATAAAATATTTGAATTACTAACCAATCATGTAAATCATGGAAAGGACATTTCCTAAGTATTTCCTTAAATCTCTCTCAACTATCATAAATTGATTCTCCTTTAAATTGAGTAAAAGAAGTAATATCATTTCTAATTTTAGTAGTTTTTTGAAGGTGGGAAATACTTAGCAAGTAATTAATGAGCCAACTCATTCCAAGTGGTTATAGTTCTTAAGAGTAAAGAATTCAACCACATATTAGCATTATCTTTCCTGGAAAATAGGAATAATCAAAGTCTAATAGCATCATCACTAACACCATTATACTTAAATGTTACACAAAATTCTAAAAAAAAGAAACTAGCTAAGTGTAAATTCTAATCTTCAATAGGAGCTCCCCCAATTTGAGAATTTTAAATCATTTGAATTATGACAGGTTTTAACTCAAATCTATTACCTTGGATTATAGATTTATTAATATTCTAATGAATTTCATATATTAAAGGGTTAGCATAATCCCTAAGAGGTCTAGATTTATCTTGTTCTAAAATAGTTTCAACTGTTTTCACTAACTTTTTAGTTTTTTTTTTTAATTTTTAAAGGGTTTTTTTTTAATTTCAGTGTCAAATAATAAAAATTATTTTCTTTGTCTATAAAGTATGAAATCATGAATATGTAATCACTAATTAAAATAAAATAAAAGATACAGGTAGGCATAATTATATAATTAATTTAATAATAAAGTTAAGTTATATAGAAAGTAAAAACTTCCCTAACAATAACATCAAAAATTTGATGGGGCTATGGAGTGAATTTTAGAATTATATAAAATCCTATAACATCTAAATAATGCTTTTTTTATATATAATTAATAACAAATTTCACTTAATATATGTAAATATACATGCAAAATCAAGTAATACAGTGATAAAGTAGAGTGTCAAACTTGCGAGGAAGTGCTTATTTGCAACAAATTATTATTATATACTCTAATTGCAAAAGTTATCCAACTAAAATAAAAATGACCTTTTTGGAGATTCTATCACTTAGTAAAATAGTAAAATATTTGATAAAATATTAAATTAAATTATTTTTTTATTGATGAGTATAAAATTACATATCGTTCCTAATTAAACTCTTCATGTAATGTGATTTAGAACAAATGTATCTCCAAATCTTTGTCAAGCTTGTAGAGTTGAAAATGATATACACTAACCCTCTAAAGTTATAATATCTCCTTAAGAATCTAGAATATTTTATATCCTACGTTTAAGCATGCAAAATATCATATTTCAATACTCCTAGTTGTTCTTGCATTCCTATATCAAGGTTATACATAACACTAATAAGTTTTAACTACATATATGCCAATTATATGCATTAAATAAAGAGTAGGCTAATATTGAAACATCTTTTTAAAAATTTATAGAACCAGTGCCTTCATTAGTACTCAACATATATTTTATATCTTCAATAAAAAAAATTAGAGAATTAGCTAGATATAGAATAAATAACTAGCAAACTCATTTTCATTAAATTCATGGAAGAATAAAAAATAGAAGAGAGTGATATAACCAAAAAGGATCAAATTATCTCCACAAAGAAAAATTATTATGTGGGGAGTCTGGACGTAGAGTTTGTGTCTGGACTCTACATATTTATTGAGTATTTTGCTGAGAATTTATTGCACATTAATTGTGTATTTACTAAGTATTTATTGGTATTAAATATATAGTAAATACTCATCAGATATGCAGTAAATACTCAATAAACATAAAGTAAATGCTCAACAAATACTTATTAATGTAAAAATTTTTATTTTGACCATGTGTGAATATTTCATTAGTGTCTGAACACAACTATATGTCTTGACTCCACATGTAATAATTTCTCCTCCTATACACTTCTTCCATTATTTTTTTTGTTAAAAGTCACAGAGGGGCCTACGTGTTAATTTAAAAAAAAAAATGATTACAAGGTCCTTAAAAGGATCCTCCAGCTCACTAATGATCAAAAGTGCTACAAGAGAAAATAAAATAAAACCTAAGAGCCGGTGGATCCTTTTCCTAAGATTACAAAAAGAACTCGGGCTACAAGGGAGCAGCACCCAAAAAAGGAAGCTCAGATGGAAACCGTTCAGCTCATACTTCCTGCAAAAAAGGTAGATAAAAGTAAAAGCAAACTAAAAAGAATTAAAAGAGCTAACATTTTATTCATTTAAGCTCCAAAAATCCGAAGAGGTGAAAATCCTGCAGGAAACACTCCAAAAACACAAGTTAGGGTAGGAATAGACAAAGCAAACATTAGAAGATATAATGCTCCTAATATTGGAAGATGTATTAACATAAACCATAAAAATACCCTTTCGGATGCTCGAGACAGAGTGATTATACTGAAAAAGATTCTCCAGCAGCACCCCAAAAAATAAGCGCTAATATTCTCAGTGACACCACCAAACATCAAACCATTAATGAACATAGTATCAACCCTCCCAGTAGTCAAAAAAATGTTCATGATATTCAACTCCAAAAAACTCATCCACTTACCCAAGTAAAAACAAACCTTAAGAATATAAGAGTGGTAGAAGGAAGCATGCTGCAAAAACCCGTAAATCAGCACACCACCATTCACAAAATCCCTCATCACAAACAACTGAATTAAATGGGGGTGATACTCAGTAATGCAGCCCAGGAAAATAAGAAGCAAGATGATGTCATTCACCCATAAACTATAAAAGGTATTCAAAATCTGGAGAGTGACCAAAGAAAGCCCATCCAGCAGGCACAGCCAACTAACATTAGGAAAAGAAAACTGAAACAGATGAAACATCCCACTGATCACAGTAAAAAACACATCAATATGAACCTCAAAGTAGGCCACAAACTAGCAAAAATAAGAATGATGATGCAGGACAACCCAACATAAGCAGTAAGAAATACAGCAATCAACAGGCAAAGAATTCTGCAACATAAATTTAAAATAGCAAAAGCACATGAAAGAAAAAGGGACCAAAGCAAAACTGACCAGAAAAACAAAACAAGCAGGATCAATGATCGCAAACATAAGTTAAACCACATTTATCTAAATTGATCAAACCTCTGAGCAAAGGGGGGATACCAGATAAGTTAAATTCCTACAAAGCAACAATGTTACTACCATAATTAGCCAGTCAATCCGCACAAGCATTACCCTCCCGGTAAATATGAGATAAAGAGTAGTTCATATTAGAGAGAATATGCCTAATTTTTCTAATGGTATAAAAATTTTGGGGGTACCCTTCCCCCACATTCTGAATGATAAAAATAACCATTTTAGCATCAACTTCGATATGAACCTGCCCCATACCAGATCTTTGACACAATTTAAGACCATTTAATAAAGCCAAAAGATCCGTAGAAATAATCGAGCATAAAGGAAGAGGACTGGCAAAGGCAGAAATAAGCTCCCCTTGATGATTTCTGATAATCCCCCCCATGCCAGCAACTTGAGTACCGACCGACCCATCAGTGTTGAGTTTCACATAGGGATAAGAAGGCTTGAGCCACCTCACAACATGATCATTAGTAACATGCGAAACACCATCAAAATGAAGGCCAAAAAGCACAGCAATATTACTGGAGTTTTTAAAGTTCTTGGCAGCAAGAAGATTAACAGAGTGTAGCTGAATAATTTTATTTCTAACGTTGGAAATGATATGATGAGCATCCATTTTTTTCTCATTATACTTCGAATCATTCCTAGCTTTCCAAAGATACCACATGATTAAAATAGGAAGAAGGTTAAAAATGTGACCTTTCTTATTCATATTCCAAAGATTAAGCATACCCCCAACATCACAAATATTTAAGCTAGTATCTTTATCTGCACTGTTAAGAAAATAGTACCAAACTTTTTGATCTATCAAGCCATCAATAAAAACATGCCTAATAGTTTCACCACTAGAGCAACATTGACACTTAGAAGGAAAACTAAAACCTTTTTGCCACATAAGGTTATCAACATAAAGATACCCTTTCAAACATCTCCAAGTTAAAATGGAATAAGATAAAGGAATGTTATATAGAGTTACTACAAGAAACACAGGCTAAACAGTCCAAATGATTGTATCTTGTACTTCCTAGCCTCCCTCAAACTTTACTATATGAGATAACTAGAGAAGTACTCTAAAAGGTATTGAAATTACACAAAATGACTGAACTCCCTTCTAAACATAATTTACCAATATATATATATAACTAGAGAAGTACTCTAAAAGGTATTGAAATTACACAAAATGACTGAACTCCCTTCTAAACATAATACACCAATATATATATATATATATATATATAGGCCGGGTGGTCCTAGCGACAGGCTGGCGGCGGTGGTCCGGAGCAAGGCGGCGGCATTCGGGTGGTTCCGGCGACAGGCGGCGGCCGGTGGTCCGGCGGCAGGCTGTGCGGCCGGTGATCCGGCGGCAGCGCGGATGCCCGGCGGTA